GGAGGAGGGGGGAGGGGAAGGGGGGGGGGGGGGGGGTTGGACGGGGGTTGAAAGTCTCACCTGACAGGTTCGGAGAGTTGATGGCTGAGAAAGCAAGCAAGAAAACCAAGTCAGAACTGGGGTGTGGAGCTGCACGGAGGGTGCCCGGGCTTGGGGAAAGGGGATAGGATCTTCACAGTCAGGACTGGGGGCGAGTGGGCCTGGCCTACAGTGACAGAGTAGGAGACTACGCAGCGGGGAGCCCCAGCTTCGGGGTGGAGGGGTCCCTGGGCACGAGTCGGGCCTACCCTTACCACCACAACCACCGCCGCCACCGCCACCATCACCTACGCTCTGTGTAGTGGATGATGCGGGAAGCCGTGTCGCCAGCCCCAAAGGTGGTGTAGGGCGTGAGGCGGATCTCATAGCTGTGGGGCACACGGAGATCAGTCAGGACATACTCCAGCAGCTGCCCCTTCTCCACCCGCCGGACAGGGATGGCCTTGACCATGGCATTGTGCTGGTTCAACTGTGGACACAGGGAATCTTCAGATATCTGACAGGCCGTGCCCTCCCCAGGAGCACCAGCCCAGGCCCAGGTGTGACTTAAAGGGGGAGCAAGAACGAGGAAGTCAGGAGCTTGGTTTCCTCAATGGGTGACATGGGACAATCACCCCGGCCATGCCCATCTCTCTCCCCTCTTAATAGTGACAGTGATAGCAAGGCGTATCAAAATATGAAGGTGTTCTCTGTACTGTTGCAAGTGCTTCACCCCTATTAACTCATTAAACCTCAAAGTACCACTGCTGCGAGGCAGAGTATTGCAATATCCCCATTTTGCAGATAAGGAAACTGAGGCCAACGAGAGGTAACTTGACTAAGCTCGTGCAGAGTTGGACTCCAGCCTAGGCAGTCTGCCCAAGAGCCACCCGCTCACCCTCTACACTGCCTCCAGGGCTGGGAAGAACCACAAGGAACCAGATTGGGCACAAGAGCGGCATGGTCACTCTGGCCTTGCACTTTGGGACCTCACAGGTGAGACGGCCGCCCCACACACCCAAGAGCAGACTCTCTGGACGTGAGCAGCGCCGAGTCCCCCGTGAGTCCAGCCCATCATTGCCCGATTCTCGGGGTTCTGCCCTGGTGTGGATCCAGAAGGGACAGGTCCCCAGAGCCTTCCAGCTCCTGCCGCCATGTCCAGAACACTTTCTTCTGAAGCATGGTCTGCAATGGGTCAGCACGTCTAGGCCACGGACGCCAGCCCCTCCCCCTGGCCTTGGTGAGCACGGAAGGACCAGGGCACCACCCTCCCGCGAAGCCCGTCTCCCCGGCCCACCTGGCGGACACTGAGTCTGTAGTTGAGCACAGGGTCCACAGCGTCGGGCTCCCTCTGGGTCCACTGCAGCACGTAGGAGTAGTTCTTGGACAGCTTGTGGCTGCGGGTGGGGTTGGGGGTGTCGAAGTAAAACTCCGGGCTGTAGGCTTTGGCTGAGAGGGCGGGGAGGGGGCATGGGCCGTGGGGTTGGGAGGACAGGGAGAGACACAGAGAGAGCAGGCATGGGGAGGGAGACAGGCGGGGATGAGGAAACAGAGGGAGAGGCCGGGGAGACGGAAGGGTGACATTGTGAGGAGAGACGTTGGGAGACAGGGAGAATGAAAGTGCAGTAGGAGAAACGGTGGGGACAGAGGGGAGATTGGACGTGCCAAGAGGTGACGTTGGTGAGAAGGGGGAGCAAAGGCCGAGGAAGAGACAGGAAAAGAGAGATGTGGAGACGACACAGAGAAGAGATATTAGGAATAACAGGGGAAGAGGGTTGGGGAAAGACACACGGGACAGCCGGGGATATTGGGAGGAAAGGGAGAGAAGAGAGAGGACGAGGATAGAGAGAGGCCAAAAGGTGGGGAGACAGGGAAAGCGTGGGAGAACAGGGGAGGAGGGAAGGAGGTGGGAAATGTCACAGGGGCCACTGGCTGGCAGGGCTGGGTGGCTGGGAGGGGCAGAGGAGGTGGCCAGTGACCTGTGGGCCTAGCTCTGTGCTGCTGACCCGGGAACCCGAGCAGGAGTTGAAGGGGCACTTGTTCAGTTGGGGTGTGGTGGAAGGGGTGCACCATGCCCGCAGCTCTCCTCAGGGGCGTTGCTACCAGCTCCCCACAACTGGGGAAAGGAGAGGTCCTCAGCAACCTGGGCAGCCCCTCTGCGTCTCCCTTGGCCCTCACCACTCTTTCTAACGCACCCATGGCCCGTCTGAAGTCCCAGACTGCCCAGCCAAGACTGCTGTGAGGACGAGTTAGGGCTGAGAGGGATTTCTGGGCACCAAAGGGCCTGTACCTTCAGGGCGACAGCTCAGAAAATGTGTTCGGGCTGGCCCTGCCACCCCCTGGACATTGCAGAGAAGCTGCTGGCGGTGAATATTATGTTCTGGACGTGGTGGCAGGAGCTGGGAGGCCCTAGGGACCTGTCCATTCTGGATCCCTATTCTCTAAGCTACAAACAGTTCAGGCCCCTGAAGGCTTCCCCACCCGCAGCCTCTGGGGCCAAGGATGAGGGAGGAGAGGCTTGAAACCTGAGGGTCCAGATGGGGCAGTGCCCCGGGGCTTGAGTGGGTCTAAATCTGGTGGGGCCGGGGCTGGAGGGAACGATGCCAGCCCCAGAACGGCTGAAAGCAGAGCTGAGATTCATCGAGGCTGTAAAGAATGGAGTCCAGATCGCATGGCGTGGTGTAGATGGGCTTTTAAAGGGAAGGGCCTAGGTTTGGCGCCGGCGTGGGGGCTAGAGGCACTTAGCCTAGGCCTGGCGAAGACTAGGTGTAGACGGAGTGTAGCTGTGAGAGGCCGAGGAAGGGGACATGGGACAGGCACAGGAGGACCCTGAAAGGGGAAGGCCTGGACCTAGAGAGGTCGGGAGCGGAGGGGCGTGGCCCGCATCTGTAGGGGCGGGGCTGTAAGAGGAGGTCAAGGATTGGCCCAGGCGGTATGGGGGGCGGGGCTCTAGGCCGGCGAGGGTCTCGCAACCACGAGGCCTAAGCCAGGGGTAGGCGGGCCTCAGAGGTCGGGGCCCAGCCAGGCGAGTCAGGGCTGGAGTCGGGGCGGAGCCTGGCACCAGGTGGGCGTGGGCGTGGGCGGCTGGGTGGGGCGGGGCCGACTGGGTGCTCACCCGAGACCTGGAAGAGGCAGACCGCCGAGCCCACGTCGTTGGAGATGCTGCACTCGTAGCTGCCCCGGCCGTGCCG